TGGCTCGACTTCGTAGTTATAGCTTTAGCGTGAGTAGTTAAAAACTTATTTTTTAACTAAAAAAAAAAAAAAAAAAAAAAAAAAAAAAAAAGAAAAAAAAAAAGACAAGAAAAGATATGAAAACGGCGAGGTTTCTACTATTTTGAAAATCTCTGTCGAATCGAAACAGAGACACAGACACCTAGTGTTCCTTTCCCCGAAGAAAGTTTCTCTGTGCCAAGTGCGTCTTTAAAAAGGGGTGAAACCCGTCGATCATTATAACACAGTTTCAAGGTGGTCGAGTGACGAGCTACAAATTGATCCTCATTCACCCTTCTCTGCTCGTGTATGCGAGGGAAAAAGCGCGCGAGCACACCAAGCAAAGTTACCCTGAAATAACTCTTGCAGATTATGCGAGGTGAAAGAAGATAAAACGCGTATAAAGAGGCTAGTGAAAGTGCGAACTAATTTAACGTGTAAACTACTCTTGGCCTTTACAACGTTAATCTTCGCCAAAGAAATCCAATCGATCTTTTATTCTTCTCTCTCCTATTTTCTTTCTTTTTTTTTTCTTTTTTAATTCCTTTACGATTCCCGATAAAGAATGGTCATCCGGAGATATATTACTCAGAATTTCTTACGTTTAGCTTCTACAATTCTTTGGTTCAATTATTTATTCGATTATTTAATCACATAGAGGACGAAACAATTAGAATACGTGCATTTACAAAGACGAGCATAGACACTTGCAGGCAGAGAGGAAAATTAGAGCAAAGTATAAACGACAGAGCATAATTATACGGTAAATTAAAGATAAAGATAACGTGTCTCGTAGATCGCTCGCTCGAATGATGCATCATTGGTGAAGAAGAGATCTATGGGGACTGAAAAACTATTAGCTATAAAGCAAATATGATTTAGAATAATTTAGAATATAAACGAGACATTGAAACGGTAACGGGCTCCTTTAACGATTCGAGTGGCGCAATAATTTTTTAACGTTATTTTTTATTCGAAAATTTATCGCGAAATTAATAATTGGTACGTACTTTTTATCATATTCGCAACATGTAGAACTTACGATTTAAAATGTAAAATAAAATAATAACTTTTAAAGGTGATTTAACGATTCTCTAATCGATATTCGTGCATACTGATTCCTAATTTTCCATAGGTGTCCTAATAATATTTACGTATGGGGGTGCATGTGTGTGGAATTTCGAGGATTGAAAAATGAATTAGCTAAGACGACGAGAACGATGGATCCATGGTATAGCTTGGTTAGATATAGCGAGCCGATCACAATGATGCGAACGTGAACGAGGAGTAGGTATTCGTCGTTGTTACGTTCGATTTGGACGATGATCAAGGTGACGAGCAAAGGGCAGAAGAACGAATGTGACGTTCCATCTGCGTGTTATTCGCCGATCTACATTTACATACTAGGTGTTTCGCAGCAAATAAATCATCCAATTCGAAGAAAAAATTTCCCCTGCCTCAGCCTGTATATCTTAATTTTAAGTATTTATATTCTGTGGGAATTTATTCCTTCGTTATCCTATAATTTATTATTACGTAATACATTTATTATCCCGTCTGTATGCTTTCATATTCTTCGAAGAGATATTTTGATGAATTTTACATGGTACATTCGAATAGAGTCTAAGGAATATTTCGATATTTCGATAAAGCACTATACACGTCGTGGATCTTTTCGATAGGATCTGCAGGAAACAAAGAACCAAGACTCTTTAGGTCGGATATTATTTGATACGTTATTTTAATGAAAATTTCTACTCTGCCCCTTAAATATATCAAATACGTGAAAATAATCGAACAATTCGGAATGAAATTTTACCATCTTAAAAGTAACTTCGACCTTTCCAAATTTCTCTCCTTCCAGATATCGCAGATATACATTTATACGCAATTATCCTAAGCAGAAAGACTTTTAAGAATAGAAGCTGGTATTTGCCAATTAATCTGAATTCATTGAAAAATTCCAAATATAACTTGAAACGCGATTATTCCATGCAAAAGCATTTTTTAAAGATAGGAATCCTCCAAGTTGCAGAAATATTAGCCGCTCGAAATTAATCCACGTTCTTCTAAATATTCCAGTTGTAATTTTCAAGTCGACTATCCCGTGTCCAAAAACGTCAAAAATTCCAAATATAACTTGAAACGCGATTATTCCATGCAAAAGCATTTTTTAAAGATAGGAATCGTCCAAGTTGCAGAAATATTAGCCGCTCGAAATTAATTCACGTTCTTCTAAATATTCCAGTTGTAATTTTCAACTCGACTATCCCGTGTCCAAAAACGCTTTCGATGATAGAAATGCGAAAAGTTGGTCTGAAATTTTTACCAACACACCCTGTATATAAAACGTTTGGCGAGTCGAATCGAATATTTCTCAATGGAAAATCTTCTCGGATAGCGTTGCGAGAAGAGAATTTGATTGCTTAACATCGGAGAAAAAGAAATTCGTTCTTCGAATCGAACAACTCACATGTTTCAGAGTGTTTATTTAAATTGTTCGAGAAAATGTTCGTAAAAACACGCAGACCGGCGTCCGGCAGACGCCACGAAACTTTTGCCAAGGGTTAATGAACAAGATATGTTGGCCGACGATTTCAAAATGTTATATTACGACTACGGCCAGATGCGATTGTCAAAATTGTGCTGGCAACGCGTCACAACCGAAGACTACAGGGTTTGTCTGACTAACATGCGCCTTGGTGACACATTAACTTTTAATATGGCCGACTAGTATAAGGGTCTTCTACTGTAATCTATTTTCTGCATGAAATTCACTCTATTACGTTTGCAATATTTATTTGAAATTAATTGATCGATATTTAAACATCACTATAGAATATATCAGCCGCAACGCGTCACAACCGAAGACTACAGGGTTTGTCTGACTAACATGCGCCTTGGTGACACATTAACTTTTAATATGGCCGACTAGTATAAGGGTCTTCTACTGTAATCTATTTTCTGCATGAAATTCACTCTATTACGTTTGCAATATTTATTTGAAATTAATTGATCGATATTTAAACGTCACTGTAGAATATATCAGCCCATTGTCGTATTCTGTCGGAGTATTAACAAAGATCAACTAGGATTGCAGACGATATACTCTTCTGTATAATTTTCTGCAATTTTCTGCATGAAATTCACTCTATTACGTTTGCAATATTTATTTGAAATTAATTGATCGATATTTAAACGTCACTATAGAATATATCAGCCTATTGTGGTATTCTGTCGGAGTATTAAAAAAGATCAACTAGGATTGCAGACGATATACTCTTTAAATGAAAAATAATATTTCTTAATAATATTATTTATATTTCGTATCTATATTTATAATACCTAAGAACAATTTCTTATACCGATATATTTTATGTAATAGCTTCTCTTATTTCGGATACCGTAGAATACTATATATATATCGTGGAACAATAATTTTTTGATAATTTACAGTGGCGATAAATAATTTAGAACGAGCGAATATTACGTCGCGAACTTTACGTAGCACGATCGAAGGAAATTGTTACGATGTTCTGGATTGGAAATTTCATTGAACTGAATAAAATGCTGACGAAGAAAAGGGATAAGAATGATCGAGGTGAATATTTTCTTGGCTTGGAAGGACCAGATCAACATCCAAGCTTCGAAGCAGAGGAATGTAATATTGTTGCATTAAACGAGAAGACGTAGGTACGATATAATCGATCGTATCGCGTTATTGTGTGACAGCGTAAAAGAATAAGATGTATAGCGTGGCACGAATATTCTTTTCCATAAGATATTCGCTCGAGTATTTTGACTACGATACATTCCAGTTGCTTTACGAGTTTTATAAAAATGTTGTAAATACGTTCGAGCTTTTACGGCTGAGAGATAATTGTTGAAATTTATTCGGCGTAGAACCGAGACACTCCTCTTTATTTATTCGTGCTTCTTCATAAAACATGAACGTTATTCGTTAAAAACCTAATGTCACTTACGTCCATAGATAAAGCAAAGAATTTACGATACGATAAATTTTCTTCATCCACGCTTTCACGAGAATCGCCTCTTACTTTGCCAGTACCTACAGCCAAAAATGTATTACGCGCTTCGTTCAATTAAATTTTCTATCGCTCGTTCCAAACGTTCGTTCGACTTTCTATCAACTTTGAATTACAATGAAATTCGAGAATTTCAAAAGTAATTATTCGAATAATATGTCGAATAAGAAATCTAGAATTTCACCCGCGCAATTTCCAAAGCCATTCAGTTTCACTTTTTATCGTTCATTCGTCGAAAATTCGCTGACGTACTAAGAATTCATCGTTCCTTCAACCACCTTACGAAGTCATAAACATAAACGTACGTGCACTCGCCAAATCCCTGGCGAGCGATTGAAATTCGATAATAATTTCAATTCAACGCTAAATCCGAAACCTAGAAAACCTTCGATGTCGACCAACGAAACAAAATTCTGTTACAAATAGAATTTTAGATCCCGCGAGGATCTTAGAAAATGGTGGGAACTTACGTCGAAACCTCTGCGACAACCATGACGAACCATGATCTCGCAACCACCGATGATCGTTCCACCCTTTAATCCACGTGGATTCTGCGCACGAATTTGTCCGTAATCACCATAATCGCGCCGGAACGTCCGAATATTTCACGATGTCGATAAAATTCACGAAGCAATCGAAACAACGTGGAGCGAACGTCCGTACGACGAAGCAAAACAAATGTAGAATCGAACGATACACGCACACACACGCGATGACAATGGTGGAATGGAAGAAAATCGGCAAGCAATGTTGAAGATGGTTCGACGGACGTCGTTTGAGAACGACTTATACAGGAAAGTAAGGAAAATGTCGTTGACGAATGATACGCGTCTGCCTGAGACCTGCACGTGAGAGCAAAACAGCTTTGAGGACTGTACGATACACGCACGATCACTGGCAGAGATGTATACCACTGGACCCAAGGAAGTGGCGAAACAACGTGGAAGATCGACGTCGGCGAACGCCACTGGAAAAGAAAGGGGAATAGGTCGACGTGTACAGACGACGAAGAGAACACGTTTCCTTGATCCTGCTCGGCGTGCAACTGGTCCCGCGTGTACGGCGGAAGATCGGGCATTTAGTGGTGAACCGAGACCAGTAACGGGAAGAGAAAGAACCGAACGAAAACGTAGATCCGACAAGCGTGAAGAGACAGAGAGAGAAGAGGAATAGAAGATGCCGGTGTGGCGTGGTGTATTAACAAACCGCGTGAAAAGATCCCAAAAATAATTTCGGCGTGAAGAAATAAATCCGGGTGAGGCGGTCGCGAGGGTGCCTAAAAGAAGGTTCGCCACCGGGTGCCTTCTGGGAATGAAACCGGCATACTATGCTCGAGTTATAAGAAGAGCGGTGTAGCGATCGCATCGGCTAGTCGCTAAAGAGTTTTGCCGCCGCGAAGAACGGGAACCAACTCGACAGAACAGAAATATATTACTCTAGAAACCTATCAGACGTTTTTGGAACACTTACGAGTTGCTATGGATACGCAGCAGCTTGATGGCGAAAAGCGGAGGAGAGAGGTTAGAAGACTGTCAGGCATAATTCCGACACTTAGCAATCGCTGCAGTCGCATGGGAACGCGATGAGGAAGAATGGAGAAAGATTGGATAATCTAGAGAGGCTGCTACGAGTATTCTGAAACACCTACGGAAGCGACGGTGAAGAAAGACAGAGTGGACCGAAGGAAGAGTAACGTTCGATGTAGAGACCTGTAGGAAATGTTTGCAGCGCTGACGAATCTCTATAGCTGCAGAGAATCGTGACAAAGAATGGAAGAACGTATAAGAGAACTATAAGACATATTTGGAATAGCTATGGATACGTAAGAGTTTGATGACGAATAACGGAGAAATGGGCCAAAGGAAGAGTAACGTATAGTTTAGAGTTGCAACAGAAACATTCGTAACACCTACGAATCTTTATGATTGCACAAGATCGTATCGAAGAACGAAAGAACGAATCGAGGGAAGAAGAGTGGATAACCTAGAAAATAATCAGAGACGTTTGCAACATCTAAATTGTATCTATGGATACGCAGACGTTTGATGACAAAGAACGAACCGAGAGAACAGTTTAGGGATCAGCTACACATATTCGATACATCTACAAATCTCCATGAGCGCAGAGGAAAGATCTATCTCAAACGTTTGAAAAACGGATACGCAGAACCTCAAGGACGAAGAACTAAAATGTGAACGAAGGGGATGTTGCAATCGGGCATCTACCAATCTCCATACTTAGAAAGAATCGCAATGACAAAAGATAGGAAACCAAGTGGAGAACGTATAACCTGAAAACCTACGAAAAATATCTGAAACACCTACGTAGGAATCTCTACGAATGCACGGAATCCTGACAAAGAACGGGCAGAAGAAATCAAAGGAAGAATAGCGTATAACGTAGAAAAGAGGCAAAAATATTTGAAAGACCTACGAGTACCCACGGAAGCACAGAAGCTGGATGACGAAGTACAAACAAAGGGAATAGAGACCAATCGGACATATTTGGAACACCTAGGAACCTCTAAGAGTGCGCAGGATCGCGAAGACGAAGAATGGAAGAAAGAACGGCGAGAAGAAGGAGAAAGGATGGTGTCTAGAGACCCATCGGACATATTTGGAACACCTACGAATGTTTCTATGAACGCACAGGGTGGATTCTCAAACACTGGATACTGGTTTGCAGTAGTCGTTGTTGTTGTTGTTGTTCTAGTTTGTTGTTTGTATAGAGAATAGTCGACGTGAGAGAGAAGAGATAGTGATGAAGAGACCGAATATGCCGATGTGGCAAGGCTCGAGACGCAACGGCCACAAGGCAAAGGCAAGGCAAGCAAGCAAGGCACAAGCAGGCAGGACTTACCTCTGCTGTTTTTAGAACTCCACTCCCAGAACTGCGCGGGTCGAGCCGAGCCAAAACCAAAATACCACCGATATAGCTTTTCTGCGATGGTCTTTGTGTGCGCGACCAACCAGCTCTTTCCTTAGGACGTCCAACCGGCTTGCACCGGAGTCGAACGAACCAACCTTACCCTGACACGAGTCTACGACCACGAACATGGATGATGATGACGATGATCGAGACGACCAAGACGAGAGTTCAGACATTTCGATGGTGCATATAATAGTTTGAAGAATTGAATAATTCTGTTATTCGGTTGTTCGATGAAAGAAACGTTATCGAACCAAGTATCGGAATGTTGGAGGATGTCGAGGGTGGTTCTGTTCAAAACGACGACCAAGAATAGAAAAGTTTCGAAGGTGCATCGAGAGAAACTGTAGTCGTATTGGAATAATTTTTGTTGCTTTGGAATGTTGGAGGATGTTCAAGAATGTCGAAGGTGATTTTAGAACAAACAAAAAAAAAAAAAAAAAAAAGAAAAAGAAAAAATAATAAGAGAAAAAAAAGAAGGAGAAACGAATGGACTTTCGTATTACGGGATTCTTGTAGGTGATATTGGTATGAGACAGTGATTTGTGAAAGGGTTATGATAACTGTAATTGATGGAGAAATTGGCAAATTGGTTTCTTATATTGAAAGATGTTGAAGGTGGTTTTGCCAAAATGGATTCTCCTTTTATGAAATATCTATAGGGGTAGTTAAACCTGGTACGAGATAGTGATTTGTGAAGGGTTATTACGATTGTAATTGAGGCAGGAATTGGCAAGTTGAGTTTAAATAATGGAATAATTTGGGTATTTAATTTTTGGTTTGAAGAGGTTTCATGAAATATTCTTGGCGTGTATTGACAGTGATTAACGTCGTGAATGACGAATTCTGGTTTTTGAAAGAATTTCCAAGTAGCTTGTCGTTAAAGTTTCATTGAATGCTAATTTTGGAAAAATGCTGAGATTTTTAGAAAATTGTTTTGAATGGTTGTGTGTGAATAGTGCGCCACAAAGTCTTTATCGAAGCTGCAAGGGACTTTCTGCTTCGAAGAAGTATCTCTTTTTCTTTTGATAACCCAGTGACACCAGATAAACTAATTTCTTTGATTCACCATTTATTATATATTTGTACATAGAATATTATTTTTAAATATGAAATACTATCATTGTTTATGTCTGTTAGCGTACTCGCTTCGTTTATATTGCCGATTGTATTACGATTTACGAGCGAAATTTTCATATATACTTTCACGTATTTTTCTTCGATATTATTTAAGTTCAATTTTTTCTCTTATTATGAAAAAATAAGCCACGAGTTACCTTTCTATTGCATGTAGGAGCCAAGATCCAGGGTCGGTGTTGCATTCACGACGGCGGTCCTGAAACACAGAAAAGAAGACATTCTTGATTTTTGAAAATTATAAAATTCAAACAAAAGTATCCAAGTTGATATTTATTTTATCTTTTATAAAAAAAAAAGAAAGAGATCATAGCAATGACAATATTAAAGATATAGTTTATCACGAGCCACGTGAAAATGTTCGTCCGTCGGAAAGAAACGCTCTTGAGGACTCAAGTTTCTAAACCTTCAATTTTCTGAACACTCCGACTAATACAACTCATTACACATGTACATAACACGTATCACCTTACATATCACTTTCGATTATCAGTATATAATTATCATTTTATACTACTGCAGTTATTTGTTTACAGAAAAGAGACAAGAAATTGTACATGATTCGCCGAATAAGTAAATTAAATTTAATTAAAAGTATTTATTATCTACTCTTTCACGAACTGCCAGGGATTTACAATTACGAATAATGAAATAACAATATAGAAAGACACACATGTGAAATTAGTTCCAATATTGACTTCTATTGATCGAACTTTTGACACTCCTCGCGCGAGATAATTCGAATTGGAAAACGCAATAAAACATTACTCCAAACCAGCCCAAACCTAAAACAAACTTAATCTACACTGAACTCCTATTGAAAAAAGGCCGATTAAGATCATCGAATAATTGGAATCCAAGAATTACAAACGAAAACCAAAAGATTGCAAATCAAACAATAGCAAACCAACCGAAACCAGTTGAAACCAAACCCAATCTCACCTCGATTAAACCTGAAAAACCTTATTATTCTCAAAATAAAAAAAAAACTAATCCTAACCAACCAAATAATTGAAATTCGAAAATGAACCAAGATAGGAATATCCTTATGGACTTATTTTATTCAAACCAGCTCGATATAAATCGAGCAGAGAGATGGCAAACGAACGACACGACGTAATGTAATTCCTATCCATGCCTGTTCCTTCCAACTAAAAACCGATTTTCTTCCATCGGTTTGGCTCGAAGCATAGGTTTGTGAAATTCTCGACGATCGAAATCCGCGGCAGCTTGTCGTAACGTCCAAGTTTCCATAATTACTCGAGGGCAATTGGATCAGCGAAGCACCAGTCACGCTGGAAGATTCGAATGAATTCTTTATGCCATCTTCTCCGTTCACCGTATTCACCTTTAATCGGGTTAACGGAGCATGGAAGCTTCTCCAAAATAGCGGTCGTTATTAATTTAAGCCACTCTTAATACGGTTCCATACTGCCTGCCACCACGAAAATCGTTATCGTTCGTTCTGCCTTGCTTCGATCGGAATGGATCGCCATTTGAAAGATGGCAGAGTTCGAAAGTTCACACTATTGTTCATTTATTTTTTAACAGGTTATTGGATACAGTATTTGGGTTGTCATATCGAAGTTATATGAATGTCGTTTAGGAGATGGCACTGTTTGAGCGTTTATAGAGAATTTCATTTCAAGTATATGAATATCTATCAAGAGATTTTTGAATGGAATAGAATAATTTTTGTGCAGGCATACACGAAGGGGAGAAACTTGGAATTTCCATTCTTCGGGCGATTATTATCTTCTAGAAATATCTCAATGGATAAAGTGATTATTGCGCAGAAAGAAAAAGAGAGGTAGGAAATTTCCATTTTTTAGAGAATTATTGTACAGAATATTTGGGATCAAATATCTTTCTAGAAATTTCTTTACAGAAGATAATGATTTTTATGTAGCAACATAAGGATAGTTTTTTTTTACGATATATTAAAAAATAGGAAAGGGTATCAGGAAAGTTATATAATTTCGAAGGTTATGTAACAAATTGCCCAATTTTCAGTTACCAATCGTACCACTACCGATCGCTCAATATTTTTTTAAACCGTCTTCCACTTCCTCTTCAACGTCCACCATTATTACAGCAGAACACATACGTCAGAGAAGTGTCAGCTCAAAAAGCGAGCCAAATCTTGAAGACCAACTGATTCATTGATGAGATCATGCAACTAAAACCAGCACGGTCGTGCCAAAATACCCGGAAATTTTCTCTTTTCTTACTTGCAAAAATCATATATAATATATTATTATATTACTTATGTGGTGATCGAATCGTCGGAATATATCTCCGTTCTACTGTAACAGTTAAGGGTTAATCGCAGGATGGTGACAATAACTTCTGTCTTCTTAGAAGAATTGCAAAGCTTTAGATGACGAAAGTTTCAGGTCGTCGGATGAAAACTTCGTTTTCGAGGGATTCTGATGTTTTTGGTTCCCGAATTCACAAGTACAAATTTTACATCGCCAGATCTAAGGAAATTAATTTGTATATTTAGAAATCCGAAAATCGGAGTTTAAAGTTTTACAGAAAACTGAAGTTTTAAAACAATTAACATTAAATTCACGATAAATATTTGGAAAAAAAATAATATCGGCGATAACTGGCGTCTGTAACAGAATTTTACATCAGTTAATTAACTTCAGAAAAGCTAACATCATAATTCATTAATTCCAAATATGAAATTTACATATTGAAAACCTATTAGAATAATTAATCCTGGTAAACCTTATAAAAAAACTAAAATTTCATAATTGAAGACAGCGTTAACGTTAATTTAAAGGAACTTGAAATTGTTAAATCAGAAGAATTGAACAAACAGTGAACACAGTTGGCGATGAAACGAAGTTTCCAGGGTGAAACAAAGGCGACAATAATTTTTGCCTTCGCCGAAGCCGCCGACTAGGAAAGAGGAAGGCATAAAACGACATTGCTCCGGATCGGCACGTGCCACTCGATAAATCTGTCGGCAGCTGACGGCACAGCCGGCTGCAGCCTCCCGCCTGCACTTGCGCTTTCTCCCTTCTTTCTCCCCTGTGTCTTAACGTTTCTTCCGCCCCCTCCTCAACCTTCTTGCAATCCCTTCGCTCTTACGTGAACTCCTCGCGACCCTTCTTCGCGGCCACGCCAAGCGTTACATGTATCTTCGTGACTGAATGCTAGGATCACATCTTCGAAGCATTACATTATGATTGGATGCGTATTTTTATTTACGCAGAAGTGCAAGAACTCACAGAATTCGCATAATATACAAAAGTATATAAAATACGCGAAGTTTATCAGCTATTATAATATGAAATTTCTGCCACTCTAATTATAATAGATTTGTCCATTTATTAAATGAATATTTGAATTAAAACATTCGCTGTTAATTAGAATATAGCGAATCGCCATTGAAATTGCATCTTTGTCCGTGAAAAACGTCTTTATTTTAAGTAACAATGTTTCCTCTTCGATACTATTTTGTTTGCCTTTCACAAATGCACATAACCTATACTGTAAAAATTGCGTCAGCGTTGGTTAGCGTTATTACTTGGACAATGGAATTGACGCATAGAATGCGTCAATAGCAGCGAATGTTAATTAGTGCTCCTGGAACCGAATTTTGTTGTGCTATGTTCTCTCTCTTTTCGTTAATTATTTATTACAGAAACATGCTTCCTCTAAAGTTTTCACGAGAAAGTATAATGTACTAAATGAATTTATTTCATTAGAAGTCATAGAATTTGCAAATTAGAACCTTCATAAATATGATGTAATACATATCGATAATTAAAGAAAAATACATCGATAATGTGTTACTAAATTTTAAATTGTACGTAGCCGTATTACAATAAATGATCCTAACCTTCACCCACAGTATTATTCGTATGATGAACCTCTTTTGCTATTAATTTTTTCCAAATGCGACTGCGATTGTCTTTATGTTAACAAGGTTCCCACAATAAAAAGGATAAAATATATGATAGAATACATAACAAAGATCTCAAAATATATTGAGATAATGGCAAATTCAATATACACAATGTGATTCGCGGGAGTGCCAACATGCGACTACCGAAGTTCCACTTCCCTCTTCAATTAGATCTATTCACCTTAAGGTGGTGTCGCTACAAGCGACCGCAACACTCAAAGCAAACTTTTCCTAAATTACTAAATTCCTAGAACTTATAAATTACACGTATGTGTCTAACAAGAATAAGAGGAAATATATTTCGATCTTTTCAAATTACTTTCTTTACGATTCTTAAACCTTCCATAGTACCTTGAAATATTTCTAGAATTAATAAATTATTATCTTCGTACTAATTAATATTTTCTAACAATTTTTATACAAAATATAGTTAATAATAGAGGAAAGGCTTAAGATTTACTTCATCAAATTCTATACTCTCTTTCGTCTATTTTTTTCTAGTTATTAATTATCTTATATTAAAGTGGTTTATATAAAAATTATTATATAAAAAACTTAAATATTCATTCTGAATCACTTTAAAGCAATTCTGTGTATTTTGCAGCAAGTATAATAAAGGAAAACTACGTGTCTAGAACTTCATTGACGTGTAAGAAACAAACATATCAAATTTCAAGATACGTTTCACGATTACGTAAGAGAAGATTCACGAGGAAAACAGGAAACGAATTTTCTAACTGAACCATTACGTTCTACTTTACGACAAATAATTGTAGATTCGTTTCTAGGCCCACGTTCTAAACGATCCAGGAGGGCCTGCATCCCCAAGAGAACGTGTGCACACGTGTATAATCCACGCTACAGCTTAGCACGGACGACGATGCTTGAGTGAAGGGCTTCTATTCTTCTACACACGCATTCATTCGTGCCTGGATTACTCCGCTTGAAGCTAAACATGGTAACATAGTGGAATTTGGACGAATTTCAAACAAAGATACGAATTTTGCTTATTACATCATCAAATTATTAATTACAACTTGTTTCTTTCTTCAATTTTTACATTCTTTTCGAGAGAATTTATCTAAATTTCAAATTCGATCGAATGTAAGTTTAAGAGGTTGCAAATTCCCATTTGTTATAATTTACTATCGTTATGCTATCTGTTCCAATTCGAAATCGTTTCCTACTTTTCATACTTTTTACCGGAATTTATCTAGATTCTGATTTAGATAATTAAAATGGAACATAAAAAATGTATATGGTTACCTTTTTTTTGAAAATGTTACGTATAATTGATGTCCCGAAGAGGTTATGTTTAATTAAAGGTATAATTATGATTTTACGATTCAGAATATTTAATATCTCGTATATGAGGTCGTCTCTCGATTTTACCAGTCAGTATAAAGAATTTAAACATATTAACTTTTCTCTGTATTCCTCATTGTACTGTTACACTTTAACCCTTGACATTTTCTTAACTCTAACAATTTCTTTGCACAACGAAAGACTTACGTTTAAGATCCCACGCGCTCCACATAACCTCAACCCTATCTTACAACAACTGCCTATGAAAACTTTCTACCGGCAAATACCAGAAGTTAAAAGTCGAACTATATGAAATATTTTTTCTAATCTTTTTTCTTACTCAAAGAAAGTGATTTACGTCGAGGTTCAAAGTATAACGATTGGTAGTTCAAAATACTAGTTAAAGATTATTTTATATGAACCGTGATTATCTAATTTAAATTGCCCGAACTTTATCAAACATAGCTGACATCAGTAGAAACGTAATAATCAGCACAAGACGTAAAAGCTATAGAGATCTTTCGGTACGCAAAGTTCACAATGAATCTTCGAAACTTAAACTTTATCAAAATGTTATCTTTGGAAGCCAAACTGATCAACTCTACTTGTTACCAATTTCACAATTTCATTACATAAATATACGATTAATATTGAATTTTCCAAAAACAAATTACTTACTTGCGTGCTTTCATTTATTACAAGAAAATGACGTGAATAATAAGAAATTTCAAGATTTTCAAAATAATGTTTTCAACATTATCACCTTTTTCTGCTTTTCGATTTATGGAGTTAATGAATATGTGACTTCTGAAATATTGCCTCGTATGATCATTACTTAGCTACTAATGACTAGCACCAATACAAATCTAACAATCGATACTAAGTGTAATAATTATGCAAATTTGTTCATACATAAAGGTCGGAATAAGTCTTGGAAACGTTTAAAAAAGTCATCCTCGGGAATCATCCCCGTGAGCGAGGCCGCAACTGCGCGTTAGCAACAGATGGAAAGAGCCGTGGTGCCGCGTGTCGCATATTACGTATCGCTCATAAAACGGCCAGTTATACGCGTACACACGGTACACGCTTCATCGATCAGCGTTACTTGCGTCATTGCAAGCCTGTCGTATACCTATAGCCAACGCAGTTTCTTTCTTCCCTTCGATCCACCGCGAAATTAATACGAAAACTAATTAATTAAAAAGAAAAGAAGGAATAAAAACCTAAAAGAAGAAAAAGACTTTATCATTTATTCTTATTCTTCTATTTCTTATTATTATTATTAGTAGTAGTATTATTATTATTGCGTTAGGTTTTCGTTCGTTACGAGCTTAGGTAACAAGCGGATTACAAATATAAGCAAAAGAATGGAAAAAGAAGCTTTCTTACAATTTTACCCCCATTAACAATAGAATAACGATTTTCTTTGTTGCGCCGATACGCATATCGATTATGACCCCTACAATTTCCAGTTTCAACTGGAAACGAAGACTTTTAAGCCACCCAGTAGTACAAATCGAGGGGAGGATCGTCGACTAGGAATCGTTCGCGGGCTAGAACGAACCCACGAGCCACGAGAGATGTTGGCGCGAGTGCAACGCGCCATATTCTTTGTCCTATGACACGACGATGTTAAAGCTCCGTGGCTAAAATTAAACGCAGCCGCCAGGGCTGAGTCTAAGACCGAGGCTGAGCAGGAGCAGCCGCCAGAAACCAGAGCACGTGCTTCAACTAAGTGACGTGTGCCTTCCTCCCCCTCCCCGCCGCGCCACGTTTTCCGTTCACGTTCCCTTTACCCCCTTCACTCGTTCCCTCCCATTCTCACCCCCTCTCTCTCTCTCTCTCTCTCTCTCTCTCTCTCTCTCTCTCTCTCTCTCTCTCTCTCTCTCTCTCTCTCTCTCTCTCTCTCTCTCTCTCTCTCTCTCTCTCTCTCTCTCTCTCTCTCTCTCTCTCTCTCTCTCTCTCTCTCTCTCTCTCTCTCTCTCTCTCTCTCTCTCTCTCTCTCTCTCTCTCTCTCTCTCTCTCTCTCTCTCTCTCTCTCTCTCTCTCTCTCTCTCTCTCTCTCTCTCTCTCTCTCTCTCTCTCTCTCTCTCTCTCTCTCTCTCTCTCTCTCTCTCTCTCTCTCTCTCTCTCTCTCTCTCTCTCTCTCTCTCTCTCTCTCTCTCTCTCTCTCTCTCTCTCTCTCTCTCTCTCTCTCTCTCTCTCTCTCTCTCTCTCTCTCTCTCTCTCTCTCTCTCTCTCTCTCTCTCTCTCTCTCTCTCTCTCTCTCTCTCTCTCTCTCTCTCTCTCTCTCTCTCTCTCTCTCTCTCTCTCTCTCTCTCTCTCTCTCTCTCTCTCTCTCTCTCTCTCTCTCTCTCTCTCTCTCTCTCTCTCTCTCTCTCTCTCTCTCTCTCTCTCTCTCTCTCTCTCTCTCTCTCTCTCTCTCTCTCTCTCTCTCTCTCTCTCTCTCTCTCTCTCTCTCTCTCTCTCTCTCTCTCTCTCTCTCTCTCTCTCTCTCTCTCTCTCTCTCTCTCTCTCTCTCTCTCTCTCTCCCTCTCCCTCTCTCTCGCTCACTCTCTTTCGTTTTCGAGAAAAATCGAGTTTGAAACTTGTCAAGCGTACTTGAACTTGGCTAATTATCGACTGGGTTTGAGTAAATATAATCAGCAGCAGGCTTTCCTACGTGCGAAAATAAGAGAAAAATGTGGAATCAAATTGTATCGTACGACGCTTTGTCTGCGAGGCAAATACATTAGGAAATTCATTACACGCTTGTACTAGGCCAACTCTTCATCGAACTCTGTTTTCTTCGAAACAGAGCTTCACGCGTAAACGTTTTATTCCACGTATATTCCTCCTGTATCGTGTATGAAGATTCGCAAGCACAGGTGAATAAAAACACGTAGATAGGTTCGAAGACGTTGGAGCTGCGATTGGCCAAACAGAGAAGCGAATAAAAGCAGGCAATTATTTATATGACGTTTGGTATGCAAGATATAACGAAGAGGAATTTTTGGTGGAACGTGTACGCGAGTTAGTGATACGGTTGGCTTCAGGGGCAGATCGGTTGCAATCTGACCAGCTTCGAGATTGTTAAAGCTTAATCTGTTGGGCGTTTAGGACTATATTGCTTTGGCTGAGGTTTGGAAATTTGTGGCCATTGTAGCGCATCTCGAGAGTAACCTCTTTGCGAGGATCGATAACGAAATTTCCGTGGATAATAGCAATCAATAATGAGGAAATTATGTGAAACTAGTTGAAGTTAGAGTAAATGATAGAATCGATATATACGTGAACGTTAGAATTATGGCCGATTTCGAAGGCGATATTAAAATCAATAATTACATCTATGCAAATAATTAAACTAGTATTATACTATAATTGATAATATAATTAATATCGATATCAAAATCGATAATTGAGCTGATAAGTGAATCAATGCTATTTTATAATCAATGCTCGAATCGATATCAATTTGAATGTGGATATTAGCGTCGATAATGGAAACGATTTTCATTAAAATCGAAATATATGTAATGGAAGTTGGTCTAATTGCTGTTATATCGACCAAACGATCGATCAATATCTCGCGTGCGAGTAAACCGAACTGAGGGAGCTGATACAAACATCCTGCACCTCACACGTGGCCTCAACC